TACAATAGGTCAATTATATAGTCAAGATTCTATTTGAAGGAATGGAACAGAATAGAGCAACTTTTATGGAACCATAGCAACTCCTGAAATGCTATTTTTATTCCATTTAAAACCAAGCACTGCAAAGAAGTGTGTACACACCGCTTTCACAAGGTGGAAAAGATTTAATTAAGACATTTCTAAGTGACAGAAATCAGGAAAGCTCAACATGACCAACACAGGTCTTAAAATTGTAAACCTAGAGGATCAGCTTTTCCTGCTCAAAGACCGCATTAGCGGGGCTGGATAATGTGATAGGTATTTCTTCTTTGAGGGTCTTGGGAAGTTTCTTGTTTTCTCTCACTGTTTCCGGCTATTAGCATCCTCTGCTGACACTATTTCAGCTGCTGTTTCAAAATACATATCAGAAACAGGAAGCTCTTAGGAAAACAAGACTGGCTCTAGCAAAGTCCTTGAGATGGGGAAAATATAAGTGAGGAAAGGGAAGCTGAGAAAAACAGAGCAACAAAGATGCTTCTGAGGGGTCATTTTCCCCACCTGCATATAGTCCTGTATTACTTGAGTAGTACAGAAGAGAAAAAAGTGTGGCACAGAGGTGTGTGTGCATCAGGCTTTGGTTTGCAGAGCACCTGTTTCTGGACTCTATCAAGCAGGGCAGTCACCTGCTGTAGGTTGCTTTGATTGCTAGTAAGCAAGTCATATTTTAAAACCCCCAAACTGAATGCATACATAACACCATCTTCTCGCTTCAGGGCCATAGAAGGGAAGTAGTTGTCTGTGACTTGAATGGAAAGGGAAACATCTGCAAAGCAGTCAGACTCTTAGGTAAGATGCAAATCCTGTTTTAGGGATGCATTAATGTCAGGGATAAGGCGACTAAGACATGCAGGCGTTAAAATGCATCTGCTGCTCAGCTGTGTGTGAATGGATGAGAGGATGATTGATTGTTTTTATTTGCCAGTCTGGTTTGTGCAGAAGATTTGTGGGATGGTACTTGTGAATGAATGGGAGCTGTTAGCTTGTTTAGTCTAGCAGAACAAAAGCCAAGAAAGGATGCCACTGCTACCTCTAAATACTGTGAGAGAGGAAAAGAGTATTTAATCTAAATGATGAGGCTGGCACAGGAACACAGTGGTATGAATAACCCATAAATAAATACAAGCTGATTATGAAAAAAGTTCATAATCCTGGGCAAGGAGTGGTGTAGGCCTAAAAACACCATCACTTGTAGTGCTAAGGCAGTTTGCAAATAGGACTGTACAATGCTATTATTAGAACAAGGACTAAACTCCATGACCTCTGAGGTCCTTTCCAGTCCTACACTCCCTTGGTTCTACAAAACATTTACATGAGGCCTATGCAATACACAGCCCCTCTGAGCACATGCTGCAAACTAAGGACTTTCTTTGCCCAAGCATATGTGGGTAAACAACTTGTTTGTACAGTTTCCCTTCTGCAGGCCAAAGCATACACCCAGGAATGAGCTGGTGCCTCTTAGCCATGGGAGCTGATTGACTGGGCAGTGGCAGCTAAGAGGCAGTGGGCTGGGTTTGACGTATCAGGCTCATTCCTCTGCAAAGATTTTTGACATTATTTGTCCTTCCAGAACTAAGGCAAAGAGCATGAAGGACTTTGGGAAATGGTGTACGTATACAGGGGCTGTAGGACCCCTCAGGAGTCATAATCAGTACTGGCTTCTTGACATCCAAGGATAAATTCATCTTGCTGATAAACAGTGCAGGTTCATTCCTGTGTATTGGCAATTTTCTCTTGATTAGGTGGTTAGTTTAGATCAGTTATTGCAAACATCAGCTCCCACCTGTAGCTTGACAGGGTTTGATGCTTTTCTCCCCAGATGTATGTTGTCACCCACAGCGAGCTCCTGTGAACTGTCCCTCAGCGAGGAGCAATTGCAGTAAGTGTAAGCAGTTGGTTCTGGTCACTCTTCACCAGTGGGACAATTCCTGCCTGCTCAGCTGCTCCATGGTGGTGGTCTGGTCCTTAGCCTGGGACAGCATTTGAGAAGTTCAGCTCCTGGATGTCAGTCACTTGCAGCTGGGTGGAAACTCCTGCTGTCAAGCAGGGACTGATTACCCCTGCAAAGCACCTGGGGCACAGGAGGCAGGGGCTGGATGGCGGGAGAAGCAGGAGGCTGGGGGATGTTGGTGTGCTGCACTGAGGGATAGTATGAGTGCAGGAGTAAGAGGACTACTAGGTGGGAGATGATAGTGAGAAGAATATGGATGTTGGAAGCCTTTTGTGTTTCACCCTTATCTGATGTGCCTTCTCTTTGTATGATGTGACATGAATGTGGCTTAGATTGTGTGAAACATTTGTGGGTGTTTATCCAAGTATACTTTGAGAGACAGCAGTTGCCACCAGGCTACCTGTAAAGCTACTTCAACTGTTTTTCTCCCTATCCTTGCTGTATTCCCAAAGTAGTTAATAAAAATAGGAGGATGAGAGCTAGAACAAAAGTTTGTAAGATCCAAAGATGGAGAGAAAAGGGAGCTGGAGTGAAGTGGTGGACAGAGTAATTGAATTTTAATCAAGATCCAAATCAGCAAGCAGGAAACACTAATTCACATAAGCAATGTTAATCTCATTAGCATTTTCTGGAAAGAAGTATTCTCAGAGAAAGATTTACTCTTATCAGCAGTTCTGTCCTAGCAGTACTTCTTGCTAATTGACAAAAGCTTAACTGTAATCTGTGCCTATTCATCTCAGGAATGTTGAACCATTATACTTGTGTTTCTACTGAAAGTAATGGTGTATTTCTGTCATTTTTATGTGGTCTGTATCTTAGATGGAAACCTTAAATTCAGACATTTATTAAAATTACTTAAAATAGCTTTTAATTAATCTATTTTTAATTAAGAGGATCATTAATTTAATTAAAAGTCTATTTTTAAATGTGGTAGATATACAGAGAAAATAAGAAGACCAAAAATACACTTGTGTGGAAAAGAAACCAGCTTGCTTAACTGGTAAGGTGCTTTCTGTGGTTAGACAGCCCACCTGGTTGTATCAGGACACTGTTCTTCAAGATCTGAGAATTAGTCATTCTTACTCGCTCTGCTACTGCCTTTTTGTTTAAGGGGGTTTGTAGGTATTTTTTCATATGCTGAAGGGGGAAATAATCTGCACTTTTTTTTTCTTAATTCTTTTTTAATTCATGATTAGTCAATCACTTACTTTGAAGCACAGAAATAAACCTTGTTTAAATAAATGGCTGCTGCTTTATACTTAAGGTTACTGATTTGTACTTAAATTCTAATTCTGGTGATTAGCTACTATTCTGGACAACCTATGTTTGACCTTTTTCTTGCTTGGCAATAAATGTAGTTTGAGTCTTTTGTAACTCTTTTATGTACTCATAGTGAGGATTGTTAGGAGACTAGTTTTGAGGTAGATAGTAGTTTTTGAAAGCAGAAGGTATCTCTACTTTTAATTCTTTACTTCTTTTAAGTGATTCTTGTTGGGTCTACTTATGGCCCTTGCAAAAATGATGTAGCATCAAAGTGAGCTGAGCAACCAGACCCAGCCTTGGCTCTAACTGGAGACTGGCGCAGGCAAGGAGATGGTTGTTGAATGATGTGTACACAGGCAGCACAGAAAGGTCCTTCCTACCTGATGCTAGTCCTCTGGAAGAGGTGATGTTAGAGGGTAGAGCTCAGGGAACAGATGATGTGGGGAAGGAGAAGCCTGGAAGACATGGTATGAAGTGAACTCCACCTGTCTGAAAGCATTAGTGCTCTTGACTGCAAGCAGCAGCCTGGCAGAGAGAGGAATGGTATGGGCTGCACCAATCTTGGTGAGCACAAGCCCTGATGTTATACCAGCACAGATGTCTGCAGAGGTACAAAGGCCAGCCTTGTGTGCTCTTGTGTGTGTACATGCAGATTTACTTAGTCACCTGACATTTTCATCAAAATGCATTTTCTTGTTAAACCAGGTGATTTTTACCCACTTCACTACCCCAAGCTCAAGGACTTGCAGTTAAAATCTAGACTGAAATTAACTGAAGTTGGAGCAATTATAGAAATACAACCCCCTCTCCTGTGTTATATCAGCTTCCAGCTATTTCATACTGACTATTGTAGAACTACAGAATGGTTTGGGTGGAAGGGATGTTAAAGATCATCTAGTTCCAACCCCCATGCCATGGGCAGGGGCACCTTCCAATAGACCACATTGCTCAAAGCCCCATCTTTAATTATTATTTGCTGCTATTATTAGTATTATTTACTGATTATTGCTATACTACTGCAACTCAAGCAACCCCCAGTTGTGTGAGCACTAATTCCCTTCTCTTGGTAGCAAGCAGGAGAGCCAAGGGTTGGAGCTTTTATCCAGGCTGGGTACCTCTTGGGGAGGGAGGACCTCGGCAGCACGGCTTTCTCCCAGAAGCACAGCACTGTTATTAGCCCTGCCTGCCTCTTCTTCACTGGTTTACTTAAAAGAAGGCTTCATCACGGTATGTTTAGATTGGATATAAGGAGGAAGTTCTTTACTGTTAGGGTGTTGAGGCACTGGAATGGGTTGCCCAGGGAGGTTGTGAATGCTCCATCCCTGGCAGTGTTCAAGGCCAGGTTGGATGAGGCCGTGGGTGACATGGTTTAGTGTGAGGTGTTCCTGCCCATGGCAGGGGGGTTGGAACTAGATGGTCTTAAGGTCCTTTCCAACCCTAACTATTCTATGATTCTATGTCTCTGTGTGCGTATATTAAAATATAAATCTATGTTGTTATTTTTAAAATGCAAATATAGATTTATATATTAGCATAATTACAATTAATATAATTAATATAAACCATCAAATAATATGGTATATGAAAATAACATAATACATACGTAATATACCTAAAACATTGTTTTATTTTATTTTCTCATTTTTTATCCCCAGAAGGGAGGGCTCCGGACACCGTGTGCAGGGGGTACCCGAGGGGGGCCGGCCGGTAGCGGGAGGCGGGAGCCGTAGAGCGGGCGGGGCGGGGAGGGGCGGCAGGAGCAGCAGGAGCAGTCCGGGCTTTGGCCGATCGCTTTCTCGGCGTTGCGATGGCTCCGCTCCGCTCCGGCCCGGCCTGGTGGCGTCTCCTCTCCTTGGCTATGCTGGGCACCGTCCTCTGCTGCCGTCCGGGGCGGGCTGAGCCGGAGCCGGACCCGGAGCCGGTCCCGGCGGCGGAAGCGGACCCGGACGTGGCCCCGGACCCGCACGGGCGGCACCTCTACAGCGCGGAGATGCTGCGGCACGGCGCCGCCGCCGCCCCCCACTTCGTCATGTTCTTCGCCCCGTGGTGGGTATCCGGAGCGGCGGAGCTGGGCCCGGCCCGGCCCGGCGCGGCGCACTCCTGCCCGCCTCTTCCCCTATTGACGTGGCTGCGGGAGGCGGCCGGGCCGGCGGCGGGGGAGGCCTCGGGGTCGCGCCGCTCCGAGTTCCAACAGCCAGGGCCGGGCGGGCGCCTTCCCCCCGGGAGCAGCGGGGGGCTGCACGCGTTAAATGGCAGCCGGGATCTGCTGAACACCGGGCCGGGGAGGGGGAGCTGAAGCCTCGTGTGTGCCTAGCCCGGGCCTCCGTGGCCGTGCTGGCGCTGTCGGAGGCTTCAGCCGGGCCGGTCAGCGGTGGTCCCCCTCTTTGCTGAGGGCCCTAGCCAACGGAATGCATCGAAGGCACCCGAGGAGGCCCCGTGAGCACTCGTGGGAGCCTCCCGCTTGGGGCCTGGGATGAAGCTGCTCGGCAGGGCAGTGAGGGGGCAAGCTGGGACAGCCCCGGTTCTCATGGGCTGGAGCCGGCCCTGGTCCCCGGACTCAGCTTCACGTTGTTCCTCAAAGAGCCCGAGGCCTCTGTGTGTGGCAGCGGTTGCGATTTACCGGGTGTTCTCAAGTCTCACAAGTGCATCGGTTGCAACAAGTTACCTTCTCTTTCAGTCACTGAATTTAAAGGTAAATGTGCAGACAGAGCACTGTAATGATAGTGCTGTGTCCCTAAGGCTGCAGGTAGCCGTAGCAGAGCTGAAGAGTTCTCAGATTGGCAAGAGACCAAGTGGGCTTATGGCCAAAACTGGTACATTTGACACAAGAATAGTTGAGTGGGAGAGCAGGGCTTTGCTGGATGTTACACTCTCATAGGGCAGTACTTCTCATCCCTGAGCCTTTCTAGTGGTTGTTGATAGTCTTCTATTAATCTCTTTCCCTACCCTTTTTATCTGAGATCCAGTGTAGGTTACTGGGAGTTGTGTTGTTAGGATTGATTTGGTTTTGTTTTTCTTCCAAGTTTTCTTGAATTTAGTTAAAGTTAAGGGAACAATGTGCAAAAGTAATGTTCTGATCCTAAGTTAACCATTGGTGCACGGTGCCATTTAGGTGTGAGTCATGACACTTTGAAATTGGTAGCAGAGAAGGATTTCCTTTCAAAACTGATTAACTCCTACTTCTTTTCTGTTATTGTCAAGTTGTTTATGCAGTATGAAAATGTTAATCAAAAGCTTGAAAGAGCAGATGCCTGCTTTTGTTCTCTGAAGATCACAGAAACAGAGGATGTTGTGACTTGCTGGTGAAGGCCCTGTGTCTGGGACTGCTGTAAGGCCTAAGAAATGCCTGTGCAGAGCAGGAGTACTTCTGTTCTGTTCTGTTTTCAGGTGTTAATATCTGTGTGTGGCTGAGGTTTGACTGATTATTTCACAGACATCCCTAAAACCAGATGGGCTTTGTCTCAGCACGCTGTGGGAGATGCTGCGCCAAAAGGGCTGTTGCAGAGTCCAGTGTATGCTGCACATCCTCTGTGCATCAAGGAGTACACTGGCCTTGCAAACCTGGACCATGCTGTGCCTTTGTGAGGGCTGAGGATCTCTGCTCAACTCAAATGTGAGGGAGCTGCATTGTTTCACAGGCTTGTTGTGGCTTCTCTGGATGTTCTTCTCACCCATAGCAAGTGTCCTCCAGATACTTGGGTCTTCAGGGCCTTCAGTCTGGACTTCTGACTCCTGACAGGCAGCAACAGGGTCAGGTTTCAGGTCCAAGAGGAAGAGAAAGACAAAGGGAACATCTGAGTGCTTGAGAGAGGTGCTTATACTCACACCCAGTAGGTGTATCATCAGTGGGATCAGGTGGCAACCTCACAGCCTTGGAGGCTATATTAGAGCCTCTTGCCCTATTCCTAGGTGATACTAATGTGCTAATCTCCTAATGCTTCTCAGAGAGACATGGGTTTTGGCACTGCTTCATTTAGTTACAAGCGAGAAGCCTGCCAAACAATCCAACGTTAAGCTAGGATTTCCTATCAGATTGCTATGGATGCTGCTAATGTTGCATTATCAATGTTACCAGTAAGAGGTTGGAGCTGACACAGCTCTTCCAGATTCTTGACACGAATGTTGCTGAGGGCTTCACTCCCAGACAGCAGCGGTACACATTTGTGTCCTATGTTTCTTTCAAATATTACAGGCTAGTCCAAAAAGAGAGCATTCCAAGTCATTTGCCATCGGACGTCTAAGGTCTTTAGTCATCAAGCTGTCCCCCTTGGTAGCTACACTTGGCAAGGGAGAACTATGAGCATATCATTCTCTTAGAGACACTAGATATTCTTAAGATGTTGGCCATGCCAGCTGCATGTCTGCAGAGGAATGAGGTTTCCATGGTTGCTTACCTGGAAGGAACCTCAGATGAGTAGTTTCATTGTGTTATAGTGACCGTTACGTATCTTTTCAACATATGTGGTTTCTTGGTAAACCTCTGGAAGTCCACTTAGCTGAATTGGACTTGATCACCAGAGCTTTTTGCTGTTGAACTGTAACTCCGTTGGTTGGATTTTACTTTAGCTGGATGCTTCTGTCTGGAGCAAGACTAGTCCTGCGCTGCTTGTACCATTTATGCCTGTTTATCGCAAGGTCTACCAACATTTTTAACTGGATAATCATTTGTTCTGTATTTTACTGTAGAGCTGCCCTTGCTAGCTGCAGAGCTCAAGCTCTTCTGAGGGCCTCCAGAAATGTCTGTATTCCTCACTACAGAGAGCTTATCAGTTACTGCAGATTGACATATATGGTTCCTATGTACCTTTACATCCCATCTTGGCAGGAAGTTTGCCATCGAGTTTTGCAAATGAGAAGTGCTGGTACTGTGGGTGGAGCACTGACCTGGCAACATGAGGTAGAGCAGCCTGGTACTCTAGATACTACCACAGCAAAATAATCCCCATGCATGAACACTTGTGGCACATGATTGCTCAGATTTAAATTGGGCAACCTGTCTGCAAACTCTTACAAATCAGGTTCTTTCACCCGTATTTCCTGATGTTAGTGGCATACAAGAAGTATAGTTTTGGATTTGGTTGGTTTTGTTTTTCAGAAGGATGAGTCTTTCCTACAGCCTTGTTAGTTTCTTTTAGATCTTCAGTTATATTTGTAAACAGAGATTATGAATGCTTGCACCTTCCTAGCCCATTAAGGGAGGGAAGAGCAGGACTTCTCACTGATGTCCAGTTCTCCATCATTGCTGCTCTGATTGCTCCTCCAACCCCACTGACTTAATGTATGAATTACTTGAGATTGCCTTACCTAGTTTTCCATGTTATATTTTTTAAGAGCAGTCAGTGTTAACTTGGTGTTTAAAATCCCCATGACTGCTAGGGGAAGGGACCATGGAATCCAAAATGCTTTTAAGTCAAGCTCTATGAAGACCATGGAGGGAAGTTAAATATTTGAAGGAATATTTAATTTTAGTAATAACGCATGGTGTCCCTTCACCATGATGAGGTCATGGTGATCAGAATAAGATCATATGGGAAGTCTGAATTCCCCGTATAGTGGGGATTCCCCAGACGCTGCACCTGACTTACAGGACCTTATTAAGGTCAGAAGACATTCTTTATCCTAAAGTAAATCTGTATCTTGGGGGAGGGGGTGTTGGGTTTTGGTTTGGTTTGTTTTTTTTTCCTAATGATATCAGGATACCTGGAAAGGTGTGAATCCATGCAGCTTTTCTACAAGTGGATTCAAATCCAGTTGTGTAAGTGAAAATGTTTTAAATGGGAGCAGCTTTCTGAAAAGGCCTAATAGGTTTTTGATCGTTACTTACAAAACAGACTGCTTAGGTCATGCAAAGGGCAATAAGAGTTTTCATACTGTCAGGTTGAAAATGTTTTCTGTTAATCCAATTATGTATTTTTAGATGTCTTAAAGGGTTGGCAAAAGCATCCATTAAAGAGAAATGAAAATCCATTCCTCAAAAATTTTTCATCTAGTTACAGGAATAAGGTATTACTATAATGACTTGCAGGACTAAGAAAATTGTGAGAAGAAGAATGATGATTTTCTGCTTCTGGGAACCTGCTGTTATAGCAACTGTATGAGGACACTTTTCTGTGTATATGCAGATGTAAATTCTTGGTGGTTTGCTGCTGGGGCAAAGCGTGGTATAGGAGGATTTTGAGAAATTCTATCCAAATATCAGCCCTGCTATGTTTTGTGGCTTGTGAGTTACAATTCCTGTGACTCGCACAAGTACGAGTGGCCTTACAATAAGGCTAGAAACTGTTATCGTCTTACCTGCCACTAAAATATGCAGTGTATTGAAATGTTAGAGTGGACAGAAAGCTAGACAGCCTTGCAGGATTTTTGTAGAAAGCTGGAAGACGGAGTGCTTTTCCTGAGTGCTTTTCTTAATAGCCTCGCTACTTTCATGGGGGTGTTCAGTAGGCTTTGTAATGTAAAAAGATAGTAGCAAGAAGCTGTCATCTCTTGATTTTTGCATGTGTTTGCAGTGCCCTACAATTCTTAATAGTAGTGACTGTTGCTTAGTGTAACAGTGCTTGAGTATGGAAGATTTCTGACTTAACTGTTTTTAAATGCATCAGAATCTCTAATCATTATGCGTGTGACTTTTCCATAGATTCATTCCCCTCTAAGCAACCGTTAAGCTCTTGTTCCTTCTGTCGCAGGTGTGGACATTGTCAGCGCCTCCAGCCAACTTGGAATGATTTGGGAGATAAATACAACAACATGGAAAACCCGCAGGTGTATGTTGTTAAAGTGGATTGTACTACAGATACTCCACTGTGCTCTGAATTTGGCGTCCGAGGATACCCTACGTAAGTGTAAAAAGATGTCTACTCCTGTTTCTTTTTTAGTTTTAAATGATGCTCTGCCAGTTTGTTGAAGCTAACTTCTAAGCTATGTTTTCTGGTGTGTTTCATGTGTTCATTTTAAACCATTTTACCATGTTGCCAAGAATCACGTGATACATACTACTCTTACTCTTTTAAAGAAGCTGTTTTATGTCTTGGAAGATGGCTGTGTTTAAACAAAGTCCAGAACTGTCTGTTTCTTTTCTCTGAGAGTACCTCTTTCTCAAGCACCAGTGCATTACACAGCTGTGATATGCATGATGGAGCTGATCTCTGGTAATGGTACTTTTCAAAATAACTTGTCACAAGTTTGTCAGTGCACTGCACCATTCATAATTCATGTATAGATGAACTTCTAAATTTTTGAGTGAAGTTAATCCTCATAAAATGATTAATACCGTTATCTAGCATAGCAGTGGTGATGCTGTACAGACCTTTTCTAGGTAATTTTGCATGTACTGATCTAGGAGAAATTCACTTGGAATTTGAGGTTGTTAAACTTACCCTGTTATAAAGGATGTATGTCTTAACTACCTCAGCTTTGGTAGACAGAACATGATCTAGAATATCTATGAGAAGTCAGCTTGTATAGTACTTCTGGGTTAAATACATGTGCTCCCTTTTTAGCTGCCACAAAGGAGTAGAGGGATTTTTTTCACTTGTGTCTTCCTTAAAGCTTCTTGCAAAAATGGGTAGGATTCTTTCAGCCACTTTAGTAATTACTCATCTCAGTGGGAATAGGTGGAGAATGTAGTCATCTGTAGCCCTCCTGCAGCCTGTGTTTTTGGTTTCCCACCCTTTACTCACTTTGTGTAGCGTTCCTCCTGACCCCGGTAACAGTCTGAATTTAACATATGCTCCTGGCTGCACCCACTTTGATACAGATGAGTGCTACTGAGTAGAAGTTGTGAGTTATAAATAGCTAAGTCCTTGTTGAAACAGGAATTGCCCTTAAGGGCAGTTTGTGTCTTAGTTCCACTAGTGATACTAAGAAACAATGAATATAGAACTCTGTTCTAATATCCCCAAAACTGAGTATTTGTGTCTTTGCATATTTGAATGATTGTATTGTGGTGCTATTCCTTGTAAAATAGAAAGATTAGCAGATACTTTCAATAAGAAGAAGATGTATGGACATATGATTGCTTCCCCCCACCACCCTCTAAGGTCACTGGATATCTAGGAATAGTTAGCCCTCACTTTTGTCTACTTGAAAAGTGAAAATGATAAGGCAGTCATTTGCTAGTTATAGAAATACAGAGATGAAAGGGAATTCATGATATCAGTTCTCTTCCTGTCTGAGTCAGTTTTGAACTAGCCTGTTTTTAAAAACCTCCAGCAAAGGAAATTTCACAGTTTCCTTGGGCACAGAGGGGTTGTCGCAAGTCCAGGATGTGCTGGTCCCTACACTGCTTTTCCAGACACCCGTCAAAGGAAAGACTGCATCCCCTTTCCATCCCCAAAGAGTAAAACTGACTGAGCAGATCCCTTTGCTTGTTAGTACAGTTGTCTCAGGATTATTTGGTGCTGCAAAATATTCTCTCAAGTGAGCTAGAGATACTTACTCTCATTTGAAGGAAATAAAGGTGTAGATGGCTCTTTAAGCTGATTAGCTTTTTTTTTTTGTTACTTTTCAAAAGCATTGCCATGAGGTGCATTTTAGATGTTCTGCTTCATTTTTGTTGTTTCCTTATTATGAACTTGCTTCCTGCCCCCCCCCCAAAAAAAACCCCACCTTACTTTCTATCATCACAAAGAACATTCAATAATGCCTTAAATAAAAAATGGATGTGGGAGTTCCTATTTCTTTTGCATATATTTGTATTATGTGTTTTTTCAACACTTTCATATGTTCTTTTTGCCCAACTGTAGAACAGGAAGAGAGAGAAAAACAAAAAGTGGTATGAAATGACAGCTAACAAAGGAAAACTGAGGGCTAGTTGACAGTAGTGATTGAAACTATGATTTGCTTTAAACATAACACTAGGTCAGAGGTCAGTATTGCCCCGTTACCAAATATATTTCCAATTTTAACTTAAATATGTAATAGTAAACACTTTAGGTAGTTTATGGAAAAGTTTTGATAGTTGTTACTAAATGTCAGTAATTGTGAGGTCTTGAATCCCTACTAGTAGTCACTTATGTCTTCGACCTATTGACTTGTTTGAGCATGTTTTTAATCACTTTAATACCACATGAAAAGTCCTACATTCCAAGAGCAGTCATGGAATGAAATGTGAGAAAGAAATTCCTGGGAAGATAAGCATTGGATATTTTTCCTCTGGTGATGCAGAGGGTTGAGCAAAAAAAAATTGATGCTTTTTGAGAAACTGCATTAGGATTCATAGGCATTATGAATGAATAACCTTAGAACTGAACACTGCAATGTTTTATTTGTTACTGCTTTATTGGCTGAAGTAATGTTAGTCTATGTTGATTTTTAACATGGTATTTCTTTTTGCTATTTTTAAAATATCCTTTAAAAGCTTATGTGGGAATTACTCATGAAAAAGCATCCTGAGTTCTAGCTGTGACCCTTTAAGTTGAGGGAGGTGCCTGATGCTGATGCTAATAGTCAAGAGAGCTGTTACTTTAGCCTGAGCTGTGTTGCTATGGATTAGCAAAGCATGTTTGCTTCCCAAGAATGCTTTCTGTGTGTGCAAATTTTCACCTCACTCTTTTCTACATTTTGATCCTTTAGCCTAAAGCTGCTTAAACCAGGACAAGAACCTCTGAAATATCAAGGTCCTAGGGACTTCCAGGCACTAGAAAACTGGATGTTGGAGAAACTAAATGAGGAACCATCTGTAAGTGAAAAGGAAACCTTCTCTCCTGCAAACTTGCTTATCTACAATTTCTATAGGTTAGGTTTCATTTTCCAGGAGGAAATCTGTTCCTGAGAATAAAAGGCAGATGGCAATAACAATATGGGGCAGCTTCCATATAAGTCAGCTTAGTAATTAAGACTGTCATCCTGTAACCTGCCCTTTGTTTCCTGTATTTAAAACTACAGCACATAATGTAGTTTTAAATGCTTCGTATATTGACATTTTAAGATACAATTCTTAGTGTTAATTCAGTTGACACCTGTAGGCCATAATGTTTATAGATTAAGAAAAGCAATTTAGCTATAATGCATTATAAATTGCATTTGTGTTGGGCTTAATTACCTCTTAAATCATGAATGCTGTCTATAAATCAGTTATCAGATAGTCTGATATTGTTGAAGCCTAAAGAAAGGTTTTAAAATAATCAGTTAGGTAAGTTAAGCTAATAACCATCACTAAGAAACCCCTTGAGTAGGGATAGCATTTGCATAAAGTAGCCAGGCCTTGCCTAAAACTAAATTTGATTGCTGTTTCTAATCTGGATAAATCTATAACAATTGCTGAACCACAGTTAGAATGTGATTATATTGAAACAAACATGGTATTTTTAATAATTAAACATTAAATGCTTGAAATATTTGAAGACATGTACTTTGAGGTTCTTAAATTCATTCCAGCTTTGACCCCTGTACCTAGAAAGTTGCTTTTGCTGAAGTGCCAATGGTTTTGCTGCAGGTTATACCTATGAAGTGTGAGCTCTATTCCCATTGTTGCTGTCTGCATGGAGCCATTAGGTCCCTCCCTCTGGCAATAGGGGAGCAAGAAAAGATCTTTTTCACCAGCTATTTTTAAATAGCCCAAAGACCACTGGAACAGATGCAGTGGCAGATGTGTGATGCTACGAAGGAACTGTTATGTAATCTAAGTGTATTAATGTATGGTGATGTGATGAATGCTGTAGCTGTTATTGTGCTCTGTCACTCTACTACAGCATGGTGAAATTCCAGTGACTGCTAGCTCTGCTAGCTCTTTTCTGTGTGGTTGTCTTTTTCACGTTTTGCTTTCAAGTAGTTGTTCGTTAGGAAACATTAGATATCTAAATCAACCTAAATAAGGACGTTGTTTTAGGAATTTAAAATTTCAGAGTTTACACAACTACCAGAGAATGGTGTGATACAGGAATCAAATATTGTTTATTTACTGTATAAGGCAAATAAAAGTTTGTTTTTTTTTCTCATTAATAGGATCAAGAATCTGATGTGGAACCACCAAAAGCCCCTGAACCTAAGCAGGGAATGTACGAACTCTCAGCAGACAATTTCAAGATCCACATAGCAGAAGGTAACTATTTTTCTCATGATGAAGGGACACTTGCTTACAGAGACATCAATAGTGGGAAGTCTGCAACATAAATATTAGTTTTCAAGGTACCTCCTTTCCACTTTTCTTTTCCAGTGATGCCTAGTGAAAGAGGATTAAAGTTACAGACTGTGTAAAAATGTAGTGGTGTGTTTACACATTGCACGCCATGCGAAAGTTCAAGAAAACCACCCCACTTAGAAGGCAGTAAAAATTAAGGCACATAATCACATGGAAGAAGCTAGCAGAGCTTGCTTGACTAAACTGTTTCTTTCCTAGAGTGCCTAGCCACTCACTTTGTGTTTTTGCCGGTCCAGTTTCCCCTTTCACTGGGTGCTGGCTTATTTTTACTCCCAGGCTGCTGTTCTGGGTAGATCTAATCCAGCCACTTCATCCTTACTGCCCCATCCAACTCCAGTCTGGCCACTTATTTAGCTTTCTTCCTTCAGAATTTCATGTGGGTAAAACACTTCACTTGTTTGGCCATTTAAAAAAATATTTTGTCTGGAAGCTTTTAAATTAATGCCAGGATCAATACCTAACATGGGAAATTTTGCCAGCCACATGGTGGCTTTTTTAAAGAATGAGCAGAATCTTACCACACAACTTTGAGCTGTCATAACAACAGATGATCTCTGTTTTCCTAAAAAACAAAGGCTGGATTAAATTATCTTCTGTATCCATGTGATACCACCAGTGAGGTAGATACTTGAGCTTCTTAAAGCAATCATTCATTAATTAGAAATATTTTCAAGTGTAAAAGAGCATTTTACACAGCTAACTTAAAATTTCCCAGCCTGTGTGGCTTAGCACATAATTGCAACAAAATTCTTTGTGGATTTTTCCACAAGCTGTCAGGGAGATGCTAAGCATTATAGAATTTTACAGTCTGAGAAGATAGCTAAGTTTAGTGTATCTGTAAATGTTTTAATATTTTTATTGTAATTTTCTTATATATCTATTTACATTCATAGAGGAGACATTCTCATGGTCATATCCAATGGCTGAGCAGGTTTATGATAATCTCTAAAGCTGCTGAGGTCTCTCTGACTTCAGTTACAAAAAGTTCAGTACTTAAATGTCATAGGACCACAGGTTTGGGTTAGAACGGACCTTAAAGATAATCTAGTTCCAACATCCCTGTCACTGGCTGCATCCAATCTGGCCATGAGCACTTCCAGGGATGGAGCAGCCACAACTTACTGAGGCAGCCTGTTCCTGTGCAGCACCCCTCTCATAGTGAAAGATTTCTTCCTTATATCTCATCTAAATCTACCCTCTTTCAGTTTAAAGCCGTTCTCCCTTGTCCTGTCTCAAGGTGCCCTTGTAAAAAGTCCCTTTAGGTACTGGAAGGCTGTTATAAGGTCTTCCCAGAGCCTTCTCTTCCCCAAGCTGAACAACCCGAATTCTCTCAGCCTGTCTTCATAGGAGATGTGCTCCAACCCCCTCATCATTGTGATCCTCCTCTAAACGCGCTCCAACAGGCCCACATCCTTCTTCTGAGGGAGCCCCAGAGCTGAATGCAGTACTCCAGGTGGGGTCTCATGAGAGCAGAGTACAGGGGCAGGATCACCTCCCTCGACCTGCTGGTCACGCTCCTTTTGATGCAGCCTAGCATACAGTTGGCTTTCTGGGCTGCAGGCCCACACTGCTGGGTCATGTTGAGCTACTTGTCAACCAGCACCCCCAAATCCTTCACCCTCAGGGCTGCTCTCAGTCCATTCTCCACCCACCCTGTGTTTGTGCTTGGGATTGCCCCGACCCAGGTGCAGGAACTTGCACTTGTCCTTGCTGAACTTCCTGAGGTTTGTGCTGCCCTACCTGTGAAGCCTGTCATGGTCCCTCTGGATGGCATCACTTCCCTCCAGCACGTCAACCGCACCACACAGCTTGGTGATGGCAGGCCTGCTGATGGTGCACTCAATCCTACTGCTCATGTTGCCAATAAAGATGTTGAACGGCACCATTCCCAACACTGGCCCCTGAGGAATGCCACTCATCACCAGTCTCCTCTTGGACATCAAACCATTTTAGCAGGAGGCTTAGCAGTTCCAGCTGGAAGGTTAATTTTTGTTCTTAAAAAGTCTCCCTTTACTTTACCTTTTTCATGTTCTAGGGTAAAAAAGGTTTTGTTTCTGTTGGGGAGGAGGGTATATCATAGAGTATGTGGCATGAAATAGCTGATTTTGGCTAGATATTTATTCATAAGAAATTTCAGTTTGCAGTTTGCTTGACCAAAGCAAAGCATGTCAATCAATTTGAAAGTCTTCAATGTGCAGACCAGGCAAGTTACAGTACAGTATTACTGCAGTTTCTATTTCCTAGTTATTTTGTGACGTCTTTCCTCTGACCTCCTGTTGTGAACAAGCCCTCAAATTGCAAATGAATTCTAGTAGTATCAGCCCAAAAGCAGTCTTCAAAGGATTATGAATACTTTTGTTAGAAAGAGCCGTTCTCCAGTTGCTGGTGTTTCCTTCAAATTAATTTTTTTCTTTGTTTTAATTAAGGGAATTTTTATTTCATATTAACAGTCTTGCCTTGATATGTGCAAAACAGTGCAGCATCTTGAATTAATAGTAATCTCAATTGAAGGAAATTACTTGAAGGAAATTGAAGGAAATAGTACTCTGCAACTAAGATTATACTTTTAAGCTAAACATCTCTATAAAGCACTGCTGAAGTCTACTAAAGGCAGTGATTCCTGAGTAGTTAACGTGAAAATACAAAGAGCAGGGCAGAAAAAGGAGAATGTAAAGCAGAACAAAATGATTTAGGTAGTTCATTGGCTTAATGCAGTGGCATTTCCTAATAAATATGTAAGTTTAAGTCTAATAATTACTTTCATTTATGGTGTTATGAACACACACGCCTTGGTGGTTCTTTCTACTCTCTAATAGGTCAAGTGATGGACATGACAGAATTAGACATTTTGGCGATTGGTTAGGTTAAAATTATAATCTTTAATATCTCATTTGTTGGCTTTAAGTTGTGAAGCTTTTTGGATTTTCAGGGAAATTGGCAACACTGGGACTGCATACAGTATAGAAAACCTAATTGCTGAAGCATTCTGTCCTGGCCTTTGATTTAGAGTGTTTCCTATCTTTAACTCAGGAAATACCATGATAAATTTGCAGTCTGAGATTAGAACCCAGTCTTTAACTGCAGCCAAATGAGTTAAATTCATTCCAAATGAGTTAAATGTGTTTTTTAATTCTTCTTTGTTTTCTTTATTTTTCCCCTTTCGACTTAAAAGGTAATCACTTCATCAAATTCTTTGCCCCTTGGTGTGGTCATTGTAAGGCTTTGGCCCCAACCTGGGAACAGCTGGCTCAAGCCTTTGAACATTCAGAAACTGTCAAGATTGGCAAGGTAGGTGAAGTACTCTTTATCTAAAAGAAGTTTTGTGTGAATGCACAATGTTTCAGCCAAGTATCATAGCTTTTGTGCTTTGATTTGCAAATGACAGTTGTTTGTTTGTCACCTCTTAAATACTTTTATAGTCACAGCTTCTATTTTAATTTGGTGAATTTCTCCCCCCCCCCGTACATCTGCAGTTGACAGGACTCCCTCATTTTAAGAAAGGACTTGTTAGAAACATAGCTAGCGTCCTGTGTTTGAGAGAGAAAGAGATGGGAATAAGTCCAGTACTTCATATGCGTGGAGTAATATTTTGAGATTTGCTTTTTATTATGCTTCCCCTTTTTCAGAATTCGATAGATGTCAGTGTTTATTTTGAATGGGAAAGTGACTTTTAATTTGCTCTTTAACACACTGGATTCCTTAGCAAGCTTTAGATCTACAGGGCTCCTTACAATGAATTATTTCTTGATTGGTTGGGTTTTTTCCCCTTTACCTCCCTAGAACTTTCTAAAGGTTTCAGGAGGTCTTCACCTTAAGAACTGATATCTTGTCCTGCTTTACTATTTCTCTTAGGGTTGATAACCAGGTTCTGTGGTGTATTTACCATGGGAGCTTGTTACTTGTACGTGGAGTGACTTCCGTGCTGAGGTATGGAGGTGGTCTGGCAATTGCAGTTAGTGCCTTTATTTGCTGACCCATACCTAAGTCTAGGTGGCTCATGATGTGAATCCCTCTGTACTTGCCAACAGTGGAAAACTGGCAGGGCTGAACTTCCATATCCTTAAGCTTTCCAAGTGATACCAGTGATCTGAAAGACTGCATAATGGTTAGCAGTGTTGTCATTCCTGCAGAGGGACAAAAACCCAGCTGTCTTCCCTGCCTCTGCCCTCATAGCACTTTCAGCTGTTACTGGGGGTGATAAGCTTGACTTTTTTAATTTACTATTTTTAATGCTTTTGAAAATCCACAAATTGAGGTACGCTCTAGATGTAGAGCAGATCAGCATGGCTGAACTTCATAGAGAAGACATACATATGTTTATGAGAAAAAATTGAGACCTGGATATAAAATGGAATAGAATAACATACCGCAAGCTATTGCTCCTTTGATGTTGTCTTTACCAAATGTTGCATCTGCTGATTTACTTTTTGAGAACCTTGCTTGCTGTCTGGTAAAATCTCTGCTTAGCTTGACTGGCTTCTTGAAATTACCATTCTCTGCTACCCAGAGAAAAACTAACAAAAAATGTCCAAAATTTTTGTTGTATTCACTTGTCTGTCATGTTTGCAGTTATTCTTACTGGTAGTTCCATTTAATAAAGCCACCAAGATTTGTCTGGATGCCTGATCAATTTTTTGAAACTGTGTACCTTGTGAAACTATTTGAAACATGTCTTGGCTAAGGTTGTCAGTCTGTAAGTAAACAGGAAACATGACTGTTTCTGAGAAGGTTGAACCATGACCACCATGTATTTTGGGAGAGTAGTGTCTTAAAAGCAGAGATACCACTGACAGGATGCTCTTTAGAATTGATCTTCAGTCATCTGGAGTAAAGTGTTTCTGATGTAAAATTCATAATCCAAGTGCTGTGTCGAGCAATGACTCCGATGCTGAAGTTACCTTTTTTTCCTGCTTCAAAAAAGATGATAAACTGATAACTTTACAGATTGGTTTATGACATATTAGAATTGAATGTTGCTATGCACTTGGAACTTCCGTTGTGGTAAAGTTAACTTGGTAGCTGTTGACATGCCTTCTGAAGTCTTTAAAGAGTAGTCTTTTAAAAAATGGATGAGCCAATATATCTTCATTTTAAAGCTTTCTCACATTAACGTTTTGAATCTTATTGTCCGTGCAATGATTTTATTCATTGAGAATACCAAGTACTTTTTGACTGGAATATTTAATTATGTCTTCATTGTTCTTTGCAACTGCTACTACTTCTTTCTTGTCCATACCTCCCTCCCTGATCCCTCCTAAAACAAAGTAATAATCAAGCAGACACAGAGCCTCTCAGTTGTACAACCCAACCCAGTTGTACAACCCAACAGCTCAGTTGTACAACCTTCCGGACAACAGTTCGGAAGGCAGACATAATCATTCTCAAGGCAGTACTTGGTACTGAATTTTGCCAACCCTTGTATTGCTTGTTCCTGTATTTTTCTGAGATTGTAAACATCGGGGAGGCTATGATGCTTGTTGTATGTTTATTTTATGCACTCAATGGATGGTTTGTTTTATTTATTTATTTATTTATGTACTTATTTATTTATTTTGTTTCATTTATTTATTTTAAACTGTAGGTCGACTGTACCCAGCACTCCAAAGTCTGCTCTGAAACCCAAGTTCGTGGCTATCCCACGCTCCTGTGGTTTAGGAATGGTGAAAAGGTGAGTCTGTAAGCTCAGCAAAAGATAAGACCATTTTTTCTGAATAATACTTGGACTGTGTTTGTGTCATGGGAAAAATAGATCAAGAGGGTATATATGAAAGTCTGCTTATTAGAGAAAAAGTGGTGGAGGTTCAGTTGGATACTGGAAGAGGTATACTTAATCCACAAATAAAAGATAATTTTCAGCTCTTTATGCTCTGCAACTAACTGATATGTTGTTCATAAATCTGTAAACAGTATCTCCAATTATTCTACTCTGCAAGAAAGAGAAATCAGAGTTTACTTCATCTTAATACCTTACCTCCTATGGAAAACAAAACCATGGATGAAATAGAAATAATTTTAAAAGTATGTAATTTTCACAGTGTGTGTCAGAAGGCTTTTATCTGTAAGTGGTACCTATCTGAGGGATGTTTGAGTAGCAAAAAATTTCCTTCTTATAAATCTGAACAGTTCATATGACAGTGAAAGTCCTGTGGGCCCAGTTGACATTTTTCCTTGTAGCAATTAAAAAAAATTACAATATTCTGAACATATTTATAAATACAATGTACATGAACAGCAGCAAATAAACATAAAAATAATAGTGTTGCTTATCATATGTTTCACACTTTCAAGATTAATTAAATACGTGAGTCCAGGGGAGGGCCATAAAAAAGATGATCCGAGGGCTGGAGCCACAATTTTGTGAAGACAGGCTGAGGGAGTTGGGCTTGTTCAGCCTGGACAACAAGCCAGGGAGACCTTAGAGAGCAGCCTTCCAGTACCTAGAGGAGGCCTACAAGAAATCTTTACCTTTTTACAGGGGTGTGTAGTGAGAGGACAAGGGGTAGTGGCTTTAAACTGAAAGAGGGTAGATTTAGATTAGATGTAAAGAAGTTCTTTAGTGTGAGGGTGGTGAGATGCTGGAACAGGTTGCCCAGAGAAGTTGCAGGTGCCCCATCCCTGGCAGTGTTCAAGGCCAGGCTGGATGGGGCTTTGAGCTACCTGGTCTTGTGGAAGATGTCCCTACCCATGGCAGGGGGATTGGAACTACATGACCTTTAAGGCCCCTTCCAACCCTAACCAATCTAAGAAATAAAAACAGGTCTGCATGCAGAGAACCTGTAACTCTTTTTTCAGCTGTTACTTGCTGTGTTTTGGAGGGCTTTGCATTCATCTTGCATTCCTTTTGAACATAGAATCATAGAATCATAGAATAGTTAGGGTTGGAAAGGACCTTAAGATCATCAAGTTCCAACCCCCCTGCCATGGGCAGGGACACCTTGCTCTAAACCATATTACCCAAGGCCTCGTCCAACCTAGCCTTGAGCATTGCCAGGGATGAAGCATTCACAACCTCCTTGGGCAACCTATTCCAGTGCCTCACTACCCTAACAGGAAAGAATTTCCTCCTTATATCCAATCTAAACTTCCCCTGTTTAAGTTTTAACCCATTACCCCTTGTCCTACCACTACAGTCCCTAATGAAGAGAACATCTGTGGTGTCAGAGTTTACTACTCAGTCCGGTTTACTGGCTGTTGCCTGTGGCAGTTTTCTGGCGCTCTAAAGAGAAATTAGCCATAAATACATACCAGTGCCTGTGAGGTTTGGTATAAGCACTCCTGTAAGATCAGACACTCCAGAGAATTTAATGAAACAGTGCTGGGATTTTTGAATTCCAGCCTGATTCATGCCAGAAATACATGATCTTGTTACTGCTTGAGCAGTGGTGCCTGGTGCATGTCAGAAGCAGATACGGAAGCTGAGGGAATGCTCAAGTCAAACATGGTGGTGTGCCCAAGGTTAGAGGTGTTTTCAGTTAATTAAATGCTGTTTATCCAGGATTTGGATAAAAACCTGGTTTGTTTTTATTTTTCAGATAGCTACAGATGGCAAGATACCTTGCCAGAACCAAACTGTCTTGATCTAGAAGAGTTAGCTGTGGTTTTTCTCGACCAGCCAGATCAATATTTTTTCTTGACCCTTTGTAATTATTAAAGTTTGAATTGCTCAGTTATTTCCATCAGGAGTGCAGTGAAAGAAAAAGTCAGATCACTGCTCTTGTATTTGGTAAAACTGAATCTCAGCTGTTGGTCTGAACAATGTATTTTGGTTGACATCAGGCTGGCTTTTCTCCATTGGCAGTGTGGTATTCCCTGGTGGCATACTGCCACCAGAATCACATGTTTTTTCATGGGCTGATACAATATATTCAAACAAAAGAGCAAACAAACACAAAGATCCCCACAAAAGTCCCAACAGCTTTCCACTAATCTGATCAAGAAATTCCTGGAAATCTCTCTTGCTGCTCTTATACTGTTCAGTAAGGGAGGGGAGGAGGAGAAGAACTGCTTCAGCCATCCAGCCCTATTGTCCAAATGTATTGTTATAACTCAAGTCTGGCATCAGACCATACTTCTTGGTTAGATCCAGCAGAAACCCTGGGAGGAATGAGTGGGCACTGCCACTGCCCTGCAGAAATGGATGCAGACAAGCAGGTACAGGCTTCTTTCATCATCTTAGACTAATTCTCTTGTGATTTGGACCAGTGTGGGGAAAGTAGCTGCAGTTACAAGTAACATTATCAATGACAAAAGTTTTAGAAAGAGTTCCAAAAATGTGGGAAAGATTTGAAGAGGCGTTTTTTTCTTCCTTCCAACATATGAAGATTATTCCTCATGTGTGAGAGGGAATATATCTTCTAGCCCACACCTCATAGGATCAAAACTCATGAATTCTACTCAAAATAGATACACAGTGTCTCCAAGAGATGATCTCTTGTTTGGACAGAGAAAATAGTACTGATTTTTGTGAAGAACAGTATGGGCAGTCACACAAGAGTCAGTTTGGAGATGGCCAACAGTGGATTTGAATGGCTAGAAACTGCTCGGAGGTGCTCTGATTTCTTGCTCTTCAGAGTTGCAAAAGTACCTGAGGTATGGGGAAGCAACTAAGGCAAACCATGGCTTCTCACAGATCTCGCTGGTTGAGGGCTTTATTAGCAGGTTCAAAAATGCGACATGAGACTGGTGCTGCTGGAAATACCTGCCCCACAGCAGGCAGCTGTTGTCTCTTGCTCCTAGGTTAACTTGGTTGACTGGAGACCATTGCCTTACTCTTTGGGTTTTCCAAGAATGTGTGACAAGTGTGTTGGTCAGCAACAATGTAGTCAGGTGACATGCAAGTTGAGTCTTTCAGCCCTCTCAAAGCACTGGACAGAGCTCTCATGGTAACAGATACCATCATGAAACAGGGATAGCTACTTACTGTAGCAGCTATTATTCCTTCCAGTAGCTTTTAGATTAAAAAAACCCACTAAAGACTTTGAAAGATGTGACTAGAGTGAGAGATGAAGGTCAAAGTGGAAAAGTCCCTAAAATTTGCTTCTATGTTTCTGAAATACCTTACATTTCAAGGAAACTTTAGATTGTTCCGTTTTGGGACTGAAGAATCTGTGGCAAATCCTGAAGATGAGAGTGGATGGAATGCCATGGAGAGGTTTAATGACTAGCTAATCATATTTATTGTGAATATGCTTACATTTGGCTGTGTTAGTTTTTTCTAGTAGTTATTTGCTGATTATTTATTTGCTCGATTAACTGCATATATACGCTTGCACAAACTATTTTGTAATTGTAGAATGACCAGTACAAAGGGAAGAGGGACTTTGACTCCTTAAAGGAATACGTGGATTCCCAACTACAGAGCTCTGGGAAAGAGCCACCAGCAGATAAACCTGCTGAAGCCCTGCAGCCACCTGCAGAACCCACCCATGTTGAGGTAAGTGTTCCTGCACTTTGCAGCGACGTTAGGCAGGTTCAGACTGCTTCAGCAGCCCATCTGAGACTTCCATGAATTTCTCTCTCTGATAGCTTGGCAATTTCTAGAAGTAAACTGTACCAAATACTTTCCTGGTTATTTTTTTTAGTAATTAATGAGTGGAATCAGATCATAATTTCTAGTGATGCATTTATTAACCTGATTAATTCAGGTCAATAAAGGAGAAAGGAAGAAAATTGAACTCTGTTTTTATGGTTTAGCTAAAAGAAGTGTGTTCTTTTTTGGCCTGCAGAACTGCTGGCATCTTGGTCTGTATGACAGCATGTTTCATCAGTATGGAGGAGAATGTTTCTTGCAAGATTCTCACTTAAACCCAGGAAGATGGCACATGCTACTAAGCCCCTAAAAAAAGCCAGGGTCCTATACTTACAAGCTATCTGCAGAAACAATAAACAAGCAAAGATTATAAAGACTGATCTAAAAGTGGCAAGGAACGTGTCCTGTGACAAGAATACTCCTGGGTTGGGAGGCTTATTTTAATCCTGGCTGTAGGAGCTACAGGGGTTGTGAGTGTTACCAAGGAATTGACAGGAATAACTTTTATCACCTTTGCATAGTTGTACTTGATGTTGTGTAGTTTTCTTTTATAATCACTTTGGTATTTCATCTGCCATTTTTCTTGTAGATGAATGTATAATTGGTGAGGCTGAGAAATTAAGGGTGGTTCTCAAGCATACTCTATTAGGAAATGTGGAAAACATACTTCTGCCTAGAAAATAAGGGACAGTGTTTTACACTCCCTTGTGATTTACACTCCCTTATGATATACACTCCCTTGTGATTTACACTCCCTTGTGATGCAGAATGAACTTATGTACTTAAAAAGCATCAACGTTATTATAGAAATGCAGCTTATGTGCAGCTTCTCACAGGAGAATATTGCTCTTCCCAGTTGACTTTTCTAACAGTTACCTTGCATAAAGTAGTTTACCAAACATGATATGTATATGCAATTTTCATACCCTTCAATTTTATTTTTTTTAATTGACCTCATATTTGGGAGATCCCAAGAAGCTGGTGTTAGTACAGTGCAGAAAGTAATTAGTTGTCTTTCTATTTTTATAGAGATAATGCAAACCACATGTAATGCAGATTCCCACTAAGCCTTGCATGCACCAGCACACATACAAACAGGAATGAATTGTGGGGGCACTTTTTGCCAAATAAGAGACATAGTGTAGGGCTCCACTTGTCTTTGCAACTGTACAACACAGCTTTGGATGCCACTAGGGTTGCCTGTCTTCATGCACCTTGGTTCTGGTTTTGTTTTCGTGAATTTTGAAACAAGGTGCTAGCCCATGTAGCCAGCACACAGTGACTGCCTTTACCATCAGCAGCCCACAGCTGGTGCCACAGGCAGCAAAAGCAGTTGAGTTCAGACTCCAAGTTTGTGTCCCAGTGTTGAGCCCCTACGTGGATTCCCCCGTGTCTTACATAGGCCAAGTAATTGCCAGTCATTTCACAGAAGCTGTACTGCCTTGTCCGTGAGACTTCTCTCCTACCAGACATGACTAAAATTACCCAATAATTATCCAGATGGATTAAGGCAGAGTGATCAAAAGATGCTAAGACTATGTGATTGCATAAGATGCCTTTTCTTAAGAAACCAAGCTAAAATTGAGCTATCTGATGCTAAATTTATTTTTATGGTTATATAGTTCACATTGCTATTCTGATAGTAATCTGTGGCTCTTTAATACTTGTTTTGCTATGTGAGTCATGGGGAAGATGGCATTTATGGGTTTTTCAGATTTGGTATGTTAGACTGTAAATGATGTCTGGAACATCTGATATCCCTTTAGGAAATACAGAATAGAAGAATATTATTTACTGCTTCTTTTTTTTTCTTAATTTATTTGTAATTATTTAATAATTAGGAAGTGTAATTTCTAAGTAATTCTTCAGAGGGTGTAACACTTAAGTTTAATGGAATAATAACTTCATTTCATGAACTAGCAGTTTTTTATGGAAGTGCTTAAAGGTACTGGGTAATTTGTGATTTTGATTTCTTTTTGACTTCTCTTTATAAAACTCTTACTATGTTTAAAGTAGAATTGGTAATACTGTCAGTTATCCTGCTGTTTTGCTTTCATTTGAATTTGAGGCTTCTATAGGCTTGAGATTTATTTGGGTTTTTTTGTTTGTTTGTTTGCTTGTTTTTTAATCCCTCCCACCCTTAAGGTTCTCATGAAATATGTTATGGTTCTGTCCTCTCATGTAAGACTGTCTGTAAGCAATGTGCAAGACTCCCATCACTCCCATGCCTTTGCTCCTGATGTTACCAGGAGTAAAAATTACTCCTGGTGTCTGTGCCAGTGTGGTGGGGTGATGTCCTCTTTCTTGACAGGCAAATACGTCTTTCTGGTAAGAGTGTTCTATGTATGCAATGCAGGGATATAGCAGAGGAAGAACAGCTGTCAAGACATCATAGTATGCCTTGAATACCTCATTAAACTCTCAGATGTCCATAATGTGCTCTGAGCCAACTCCTCTCAGGGCTGTTCCTTGAAACATTTTCATGGCAGTGTATTATAATGAAGGTGGTGGGGTTTTTTTTTTTTCTTTTTTTCTTCCCCCAACAACTAAAATTTGGATACAGGCAAATCCCTTGAAAACAGGGATGTTTTATTTTTCCAATTATGGATGAGATTCAGTGTGAAATACGCATTTCTCTACAGTTCTCCCGGGGAGGAAAGTAACTGAGGAGTAAAAGTGAGGTGTACTCCTGCTACTCATTTATATTATCAGTAACATTATCTTTTCCAGTTTGAGTTTCCCTTTTAGGTAGCTAAAAGCTCATTTGGCTGGTGTTACATATGCAAAAGGGTTTGACACTTTTTTGTTTGTTTTTTGAACAGGCTACAGTGCTCTCTCTCTCTGAAAAAGACTTTGATGCAACCATTGCTAGGGGGATCACATTTATTAAGTTCTATGCTCCATGGTAAGTTCATACCTCTTATTCAGGATTATTGCTGGCCCCTCTGTGTGATGTGAGAGATTGATATGGAATCTGTGCCTGTGCTCCTACCATTTTACACCTCCAGTTTACACCTGTGCACAAAGCAGCTCCTAGTCTGATTTCTGAACCCAGGGCTGGTTGGCCCATACAGGAGTTCATTAGCTGACAAAATTTTCTGGAAAAGTTTGAGATTGTAAAGAAAGGCTCCCTTTTTAATTAACTTTTCTTACTAATACTGCACTTAAGTTATATACTCATGAGATTCTGTTGGGGTGCTGCTGGGTGTCAGGTAGTCTGCTGAGACATGGTGGGTCAGGATGCAGAGAGTCAGGTTCATAAACCAGTGTGTGCTCCCTGCTGCAATATTCAGAAATCCACTTCCTATATTTATGTAGCTGCTATCCTAGTTTTAACTTTGAAAGTCAGGCTTATGTATACAGTTGTAGTGCTCTGCATATAAAGGACCTTTTCCTCTTCCAAATGGATTAAGTTGTGTAGGGCTCAGCAAACACTATTATGTTGCTTGCTAGTTCTGTCTTTCAGTTCATTTTGGATAAATATTAATGTAAACTTTCATAGTAAGCAGAAAATCAGCCTGTTCTAGTAGATTTTGTGCATGGTCAGAAATGCTTTTATGCTGTCACTGTGTATTAACAAGGTGGTTCAAATATACACTGGCTTGCATTAAGAAAACTCTGGCTGAGACATCTTCTATTATTTTTGTAAATGCCCTGATCCAGTCTCAAGGCAATTATGAGGCTCTTTCACTAACCCAAATAAGCTGCAGCTGGGTTAGAATAGAATGAGCAATGCAGCTTTAAAGTCTGAAGTGCTTTGGGAATTATTCTTGAAGGCAGGCAGTAGTAAGAAGTTCAAGCTATGAACTTGGCTAAGCCAAGTTCAAAATATAAACAAAATTAATACTTTACTATATATTGGACAAGGAGGCCATTAGGAACTGGAAGAAATTTAATAGGGAAATTAAAATCTCATAAATAATTAAACTTGGGCTATGTAGTTTTAGCACATGCTACCTGAAAATTTAATTTGTATTACAGGCATGCTATGCCTTACTTAAAATGTGGGTTTGTTGGTTGGGTTTTTTCCTCATTTAAATAATCCTCTGTGCTCGTCTTTACTTGGCTTTATATTTTCTGTAGGGTAAAATGTTAATGCACTGACAGCCAAAATAGCATTCCAGATGAGACATATGAAAGCCAGAAACTACTTCAGTGCTTCACTTACATAAAATCACTCATTTTCTTTGCTTATTTAGTGACACAATAGTGCAGGGGAGTTGGAGGGCCAAATCACTGGGGGATAGAAAAGGCAGCTGGTTAAACTTGCAGCCATTGCAGCAAGACAGTAGAGATAAACTGAAAGGTGTATCTGCTAAACAAATCTCCCTCTTTTGTTTCTAGGTGTGGTCACTGTAAGAACTTGGCTCCAACTTGGGAGAACCTTGCCAAAGAGCAATTTCCAGGTTTGACCGATGTCAAAATAGCAGAAGTAGACTGCACTGTGGAACGTAACGTCTGCAGCAGATTTTCTGTAAGTGTGAAAGATCTGAAATGAACAGGATAGTATTGTGTACCAAACGTTAGCAGCTCCAGCATGCAGCAGAGCTGCTGCTATGCTGCAGGTGCCTGGTGACGGCACAGCTGTGTTCTCTGTTAGCCAAACAAGAGGTAGTTAGAACAGCACCTGCTGACACCGTTTCTTTCCTGGCCTGTTTGTCAGACTTGGTCATTCTTATTATTGGATAAAGCTGAAGAAGTCCCTAATTTAAGAAGCCTCCCTCTGTGAGAGCACACCAAAGCAGTCTTCTTGTAGCTGATGCAAAGTTCTATTTCTAGGGGAAATAAAAGTCTTTTGGTGCTGGTAGGCAGACAACTGACGATAGGGCTCAAACTGCCATTCCAAGAGCCTAGATTAACATGTATTAGCCCAGTCGCTTATCCTAGAGTCATAGAATGGTTTGGGTGGGAAGGGACCTTAAGGATCACTTAGTTTCAACCACACTCCCATGGGCAGGAACACCACCCACTAGACCATGTTGCTCGGATTAGCTTTAGTTTTACTTATTGCACCTTTCTGTCACTATATATAATGAGCACATCTGTTTGGCCTTTGTGAATATGATAACTGGAAATTCTGGGGTGGTGTTTGGGTTGGTTTGGTGCTTTTTTTTCTCAGTTAAAGTAGCTTATTTTAGAGGGGTTTGGTGTCTTTTCAGAGTCAGGTAAATAACAAGTGAAGGATACCAGTGAATTTTGACATCTGTAACGAGTCTCTGTTGTGTGTGTGTCTTTTGAAGGTACGTGGTTATCCTACACTTCTGCTTTTCCGAGGTGGAAAGAAAGTCAGTGAACACAATGGCACGAGAGATCTTGAATCACTGCATAGCTTTGTCTTGCGTCAGGCAAGGGATGAACTTTAATAAAAGACAAGTCTAGATGCTCCATCCCTGGCTGTCTCTGTACAGTAGCTGAGGGATTTCAATCATTGCTAATTTTCAAATAGTATATTTGGGGGGGAGGAGGGGATTTTGGCGGGGGTTTTTTTGTTTGTTTTTAGGAAACTGAATGTACTAAACATTGGTATCTTCCCTCTGTGTGCGTGTTAAAGACATCCTACCCTGTGTGTGAAGGAAAAGTAACAAGTAGTTACTGTGCAAATTGAGAATATTTTCAGCATTGGTAGTGTTACTGCATTTCTGCCTTCCCGCAATGAAGTGTAAATGGTTTCCTTTGAGACTAAAATACATGAAGAAAACCAGCTTAAGGGCACCAGTAGAATATTTTTGTATTCAGGTTAAATTTGGTTCAAAAGTAATCCTTACAAACTGCCTACCATTACTAGAAAGGTAAAAGCTGCAACGGTGTTGAGTCACTTTTGCCTCTACAGCTGTACTTATACCTTGTTTGTCTTAATATAGCTCTGGTAAGAAATGGAAAGTCACGGGAGGTTGAAAATACACGCACCTTTGGAATATACCAGGCCACCCTGAGCTGGTTATTACCTGTTAATCCTCTCGGCATGGGAGGTCTAGCCATAATGAAAGTGATGGTACTGTAACATGTGCCTGAACCTTACTGATGCCATAGTGTACATGTGTCAGGTGGATTGTCGTAGGCTGCTTGTGTCCAGCTCCAGAGAAGTAACTATGCTCTACTTCTATAGAGCTAAAGTGAATAGGCGCTATTATAACTGCTCCGTTAATACTAAGTGATCAGTTAGATTTCAGAGCTGATGACATGTTTCCTACCCTCCCCTGAATCCAGACTTTGTGTTGAATAGTACAATGTTTAATTATTTTTCCCCATTCAGCTCTTCTACAGTAGTGTAAAATAGCTCCCCCCTTTCTTCCTTGAGCCTTAACCTTTTTCGAAGCTGTAAGCATTGATAAATTTTAATGCCAGGACCACGTGCTCTGTGGTGCCTTGGATTATAATATGGATCTATTCTTTGGTGCATAAGGTGTTCAATGTCAGAAATAACTGAAAGCCAAAGAATTTACACTGCAGAGACTGTCACGATACAAAGAGAACAGCAAACCAAGGACTGAATTCCGCATGTCGTGTACACAGAAACTCACGGAACGAGGATTGCTAATTTGACTGTACTGTCAAGATGCTGATTTTTGTCCATCATATGGAGTAGGTTGGGTATTTTTTAGAAAAAAAAAAAAAAAGGCAAACCAGCAATGAACTTTTAAATCAGTGAATTTCTCCTGGTACTTCACTGTCTGTCCAGAACTTTTGTTTCTGTTCAATTTAAAAATGTGTAAGGGTGAAAAAGCCACAGTGAAAGCTAAGTGTTGTATTGGCAGATGTATTAGATCAATGTGTATACTTCTGCCTTAAAAGAAGCCTTTATTATCATGTTTTTAACAACTTTCTAGTGAAGCACAATCTCATGAGTTTCTTGTATAAAATCAGAGTGGTACAATTGTTTACACTGAGATTTTTCTAAATAAAAACTTTTTCAAAAAGCAGTCTTTCTATAAATGATACAGCACAATGAATATACAGTGACAAGTGCAATAAATTATAGCTTGTATTTACAAGAAGCCTTTTAGATGCAAGAATTAGAGGTAAGTGCATTTAATACAAGTTTAATATTCATCAAAACAATTTGCTATTAGCTTCTGCTAGACAAACGGTGGCTACACTATGAATGTATCCTTGATACCAGTTTGTTAGTTGCGTGAGTTGATTGGGGACGGTTGGGCAGAGACTTGCCTATGTTGTTGACATTCTGTCTTCCTGTAAATAAATTGTCCAGCCAGAGAATGAATGGCCCCTAGACTTTTACATCTGAATTACAGCTGTCGAAGCATCCCCTCTTTCCTGGGCAGGTGGTAGTAGATGAGGCAGCTCCACGTGGAGAGTGGAAGGAAGTTGCGTAAGAACAAGTGTATGAAGTCATACTGCTCAGTCTAGTAGTGAATGGGAAAGACCAGCCAGTGCCTGAGTTCACACTAGTGTTTCTAACACAGGGTGCAGCCAAGCCACCTTATGCTCTCAGGATCAGACTGACTTAAACTGTGCTTGGAGAGTAAGAGAACTGAAGCATTTGCTTTGGCACAATTTAAGATTATTACTGTCATGACAGATTTCAGGAGACTAACAGGCTAGGTGCAGTAACTGGTCCTTCTAGACAAAAGGCAGTTCCTAACCTTAGGAATTTTTTAGTATCCATCTTATACAAGATGGATGCTCTAAGCCTGAAGTACTAACACCACTCTCCTTACTCTAGTTTCTCCTGTCTCTCCCCTCATCTTTCCCCATCTCCCTAAAAAGACTCAAGTTATTTTGGGTGTCCAGTGCCCATCTGGTGAAACTGCAGCACACATCCAAAACTGCTGAATGCCAGGCCACTATGTGAGACTTAAGACCATCCCAGACAAATAAAGCATGTGTGGGCATATTGCTGCTTTGCGCACTCCGGCTCTGCAATGCTAAGCAGCCTCTGCGGCATTGGGTCAGTCAGTAAGAAGTCCAGCAGTTTGCTCGCACCCCAGCATGTAGTCCTCAGCCCCCCCACTTCCTCCCACAAGGCACATACATGGTGTTCTGAAAGGTGGTCCATCAATTATTTTTCCTCCAAGGTCAGGTAGTTCATCAAAGCAGGGAATGTGGTGTGGAAGTTCATGGTAGAATCACATAGTCCATGTGAAGACTGTTTGTCAGTGACATCCACAAGCTCTTACTACCATATTCCTGTATTTCTTCAAGATTACATTAGAATTATCATCAAAATAAAGAACAGATATGGCATTTAGTTTGGTAGGTGCACAGCATGGTTTGGGAACATAATCAGGATTCATAAGATGAACCTGTTGCCAAAAAGAAAACACAAGTGAGACAATTGTAACCCATTTACAAATTCACCTATTGCTTTGGCATCGAGGTTTCTGGAACCTTACCAGAGTTTGTACAATGGCATGATTGGTTGCGTTCATATGGGCGTTGAGTGGGAACGAGCACTCCCCATCACAGTAGTTGGCTGCATAGCCCTTTGGAGCGATTATCCAGTCCTTTTTAGGAAACAAACAGAATGTGATTCAAATTAAAGAGTTGCCAACTTGTACAGACAACTGCATGCAATTAAAAGCAGATGAAAATTTTCCACCAACTTTTTTCTTGAGGGTGAAAATGTGTTTTCACTGAAGCTGTTAGGGCTCGGGTTTTTTTGTGAGCCATCACTTTTCCAGGGACACACTGATTTTAATGTCCAAAGAATGGTGCATGTCTATGCACATCTTAACTGCCATGAACTAAGAGTTGTATTCCTAAAACTCTTGCTGGGTTGCCCGGTGGGGATTGTGGTTTGGATGCTTTTATTTTCCAGTATTTCCTGCAGGTTAGGCCCTCTAGCTGAAGTAAGTACCTTTCTGAGCCTGAGTCACTCTCAGCTGGTGTTATCTCCTGGAGAAAGTCAGGTACATGCATCTGTGTACACCCATGAACAGTTCAACCAGGGAGCTCCATAATGGCAATGTAGAACACTGGTGTGGTGCTCACAGACACTCTACCTTATATGCTCTTATACAGGGAGACTAGTCTGCTAAGGTCAGAAGTAGTAGCACCATAACAGCTTCTCCACCTCTACCAGTCTCCTAAAGGAGACACAGGACAGCCAGCCTGCACTGCATGTGCAAGCAGGTGGCCCCAGTGGCAATCTATGCCATGCTAGGGAACAAGATGATTCCTCACCAAGGGGATATTAAAGTCATTACAACTCTGCTGCTGACACAAAAGAGACAAAGGTAAATTAAAAGCATTAGTAATTCTCAGGAGGCATTTCACCTCCCTTGGTGTCAGGCTCTGCAGGAGGATGCACTGGTGCACTTCACATGCGCACAATTCTTAGATGATTTCCCCTTTACCTGACAACAGTTACCTGGGTTAGCTTGCAGTTTGCTACAGCAGGCCCAAGCAGCCAGAGCCTTGCTGCAGCTTTCTAGCCATGTCTGCTGGTTGATTGCTAACATAAGAATACCTGGGCATAGCAAAACCACTCCTCCACTTTTCTGTACTAGCTGACCCATAATTTGCACCCGGTAAACCGAGCTTCATGAGACAGTCACTCTCCTACTGCAGCAGCCAGTATGGACCATGTAATTAAACTTGAGGTTTAAAGCAGTATAAAGGAAGTGCTCTGCTAAAAGATTTGAAGGAGAAAGCAGTAAGCAGCAACTGCAGGGGGCTGCTGCCCATCATCTCCCTACAGTAAGTAGGATCTGCATTCCAACTCCTGTTGCTCTGTGGCCTCTCTTTGGCAACATCTTACCTTCCTGCAACTAGACAGGTGAAGAAGGCAGTGCCCTCTAGACCATGAACTTCACAACTGAAACACACGTCCTGCCTGGAAGCAGGGCAAACAAGCTAGGGAGGAGGTGGAAAGACTGTGCACAAGTAAAAAGCCACTAGCAAGTAATGGGACTGGAGTCAGTATGCAGCCGTGTCTGTGGCCAGTGGGCTGGAGTTGACATAAGCTACAAAAAAATGTTGCTGTCCCATTAACTGGGAGAGGATTTTCATGTGTTGGGTATTACAGAAGCAGCGGGGGTAGCCCTGGCATCCTGAGTTACAATCTGGTAAAAACACTGGCTGAGCTAAACGGACCTCCCTCACAGAAGTGCTGAATGAAAGAATGTTAACAAATAAATAAATAAGAAAGAGTCCATGAGGGCATTCTTTGAAACGTGATGTTTGCTGACACTCTATACATAATAGTCCTAAATGACTTACTCTAAACAACTCCCTGGCCTCGCTCATAGTGTTGCAACAAAACCCAGTCTTCAGTCCACCTACCGCAGCCAGTGCTAATTGTGGGGCAAGAGAGGGAGGATTTCAATACAATGGCCAAGGTTAAAATTAGGGCTGATCACTAGAAAAAACTTCATTTGTTTAAAATCACTGCTTAACATCAGATTTTTTTCCTTATCATTAGAGG